ATGAAGCCACGGTGCGCAAATTGGTGGACGATTTCAGACTATTGCAGGAGGGACCCCGAACAGGTCAACTACGATTGTTGCGACAGACCTCAATGACGGCATGGGTATCAGGTCTATCGATGGGCGAGTGCAGGTGGTGGATCGCTTCAGCATGGGGCCACGCGGCAGAAGCCAAGAGCACCAAGCTGGCACAGTATAGAGAGTGAATGGAGGCGTCTGCGGTGGCTTCAGTTACGAGTTGGGATCCTTGCGGATCCACGTATTATGGTCATCGGAGTTGCGGCTACATAGACCACCTGATTCTATCTCCGCCATGGATGGGACGCGTTAAAAAGGGATGCGTGGCCACCTACAATTTGGCACGGAGACTAAGTGCGATCCCCAGCGTGGCGATTTTCTATCACATGTTTATAGTGGCGGAGCCCGAAAACAAATTTCCATATGGCGCCCCACAGACAACTTACCTGGGATTACTTTTCATTCAGCCCAGCGATGCGAGACGAGGAGGGATCACCGCAGCTACGTAGGGAAGTGGAGGAAACAGTCGGACAGCTAGTGCGGGACGGCGGGCACCTGAAGGTAGACGCGTGGATGAGGCAACATACATTGGAATCGGTATGTGAGGCAATTGTGACTACGATTCAGCGTAGGGCACAGCATAAGTACGGTACTGCACGACGACACAGACCCCAATCGTACGTACGATTAGCACGGCAAAGGGAGGCTGCGCTACTGGCGCGCACCAGAGCTCATTATGCGCTAGACGACGAGCTGGATAGTGTGCGGCGACTGCGACAGTGTACGCGACGATGCAAGCAGGCCATCAAGATGGCGCGCCAGCGAGAGCTCAACGAGGAACTGGAAGAGGCGACCCGCACCAACAGGGAGGACGTGGCGTGGCGTATCAGTTTTTCAGATGGCTGGAAACGGGCTTGCACCACGAACGCGGAACCACTACCTCATACCTGACGCGCGGACAAACTTGCAGACGTGGACGGAGGAGTTGGCCCTACTTGGATGGAAGTGGCGCAGCGGCTGCGCAGAGGGCGGCGGCGGCGGACAGCCCCGTCATGATCCATGCCGACGGAGGCGCGGGGCATGCTACTTTCGTGCCGAGCACCGCGGCGAGCAGGAGAATACCGAACAAACATTTACGGAGCCAATACTACAGGAGCTCCCGCTGGCACAGCTGTCGGGGATGCGACAACATCGGGGACTCAATGCGTGGTGGCACCTCCCGCAAACGTACCGGGTGAGCAGGATGAATCGCAGGCCGAGGACTCGATGCACGCGGCTACTCCACGCATTCTGCAGTTTTGGAATGGCATGGGTGGAAGCACGACGACAACGAGAAGGACTGCGACCGCCAGCAGAAGGCCCTGGCACGCTGGCGGCCGGCAGCGCATTGGAGCGGCGACCGCGAGGGGCGGGCCTGGGCCACCGCTACCAAACATGACATGGCGAGAGCGCTCGCTAGCGACTCGCACCAGCACTTGGACTACACGATGCGTCCTATGTATCGGGGGGAAGACGTGGAAACCGTGTTCGCGCGTCATCGCAACGCAGCGTGCGTTGTTCTGGCGTGCGACGGCGCAGGCGCGCATCGGAACCGAGTGGGATGTTTCACTGGCGGCGCAAGTGTAGCTGCGAAGTTCTGATGGGCGTTCGGGGCACCGACGCGAAAGTGGCGGAGGGGCTTCTCTCTCACCGCGACGGCGCGCGAGATATTGCAGGTTGCGCCGTTGCCCGAGAGAACCTGCGACCTGGGAGTGAGTAGGTCTGCCGACGACCTCGCATGTGCCCGCGTTGTCCCAGACGCGCGCAGCGCAGCCCTGCGGGCAGAAATTTCCGATCGGCACCTCGACGCCCGCCCCGGGGCGATTTGGCCTCGCCCAGGGCCGAGAGGAAAAGCAGTCAGTGAGTCGTTGTTTCGCGGGTCAGGGGTCCCAGAGGTCTGCCCGAGCGCTGCGCTGCCGCGAGGTCCCCGGGTCCAGGCTCTCTCGGTCTTCTTAAGAGCTCACGCGCGGACTGCGGGACGGAACGACGAGGGGATCCGAGCTAGGTGCGCTACTGTGTGTGTGGGCTGGCGGGGGATGGGAAAGTTCTGGAGTGCCTGTCGCAATTTCTCGCGGAGGCGTCTGGTGTTGCGCGTCGTATCCTCGAGGCAGCGCTGGCAGGCGTCGAGGCGAGGGTCCTGGCGGTGGAACAGTCCAAGCGGCTCGACGCCGTCTCTGCGCCATTTGCCGCTGCGCTATGCCATGGCGTCGCCACATGCAGACAGCTGAACGCGGGGGGGGGGAAGAAGAGCGGTGGATGGTCACGTCAGTGTGCGCGGAAGCCGTCTGGAAGAGGATCAAGGTGGCCCCCCGAGTGTCGACAGTTTCGCCGACGTCAGGAACTTGCCCGCCGCCCCCGACAGCGCGCGCAGGAGCTGGCCGCTGTCTTCGGAAAGGTAGCGTTCGAGAGCGCTGAGAATCATACCTTCTCACGGGCGCTTCATTTTCGGCAGGACTCGCTGTCCGCGCCGCCGCGGCCCGTGTCCACTCGAGACAGAAGGCCGCCTGCCCACCAGCGGCCGCTGTTGGTTTGGAACGACATTTGTTGTTGAGCATTGTGCCCATTTTTTCCGTACCCATTTCGGGCGTCCAACAAAGAGGGGGGTGATGACTAGGGGTGGGTGGGTATCATTGTGGGGGCCATGATATCTCCCCAGATTTCATCGCGCCTCCTCTTATTTCAACACCCCCCCGGCCCCTCCCAAGGGCCGCGCACGCGCCGCCGGCCATGATTTGCGCCCCCCCTCCTGGACGCCCCCCTCTTGGTCGCCCCCGACGGGTGCGAGATTGCTTCCTGGGCGGCTCTGGTCGGCCTCCGGAACGACGGGTGTGAGATTGCTTCCAGGACGAGGAGGAATCCGCTCCGGAGCGTTCCGCAGCGCTCCCAGAGGGCATTCTGGAGCGCTCCGAGGAGGCCGCGGCGCCCGAGACATCCTCCAGAGCCGCCAGATCTCGGAGATTTCGGAGGTGTAATAGACCTCCTGACCTGACACGTCGATTAGCGAATTGGCCGTTTTCGATTCGCGAGTGGGCGTCGCGGCTGTCATTTTTGCGGGTCCAGGTCCGTCGGTTTCGGCCCTAAGTCGTTTTCACCAAAGGGTGGTTTACTAACGGGAGGTTTCTCCACCGCCGAAGCTTCTCGATTTGCCCTCGCCCGATTTTATCTCCGTCCTTGCTTCGTCTTACCTGGGGCCGCGGATGCGACTCGGCTAAAAGCTGTGCTATAGTGAAGACAACGGACCACAACGGACGACGGACGACATACGAACGACAATGGCGAACGAAGAAGACAACGACGACCACGGAGGCTACCTGGGTGTGCGGCCGTCGGGGCCGTCGACGGCGGCGACCGTGCGCTTTCGGGGGTGGCGCCCCTCGGGCTCCGAGGGGCCGCCGCTGCGGGCCAGGCATGTGCGCGCCGGCCAGGCCTGCCGGACACGTTGTCCTGCCTTCCCCCTTCCCGGCGCGCTCCTCCCCCTCCTCCCCCTGCTCCGCCGCCGTGTCCTTCTCCATCCTCCTCCCCCCTCCCTCCCTCCCTCCTCCTTCTCCTCCCCCATCCTCCTCCCCCCTCCTCCTCCTCCCCCTCACTCCCCCTCCTACCTCCTCTCTCCTCATCCTCCTCCTCATCCTCCTCCCCTCCTCCTCCGCCTTCCGCTCCCTCCCCAACCCTCTCCCCCCTCCATATATCCTCCCCCTCCCCCCTCCTTCCACCCCTCCTCCCCCTCCACTCCTCCTCCTCCTCCTCCTCCTCCTCCTCCTCCTCCCTCATCCTCTCTTGGGGCGCGCCGGTCTCGTGCGGCGCGTCACGCCGACGATCCCAGAATCCCTCATCCTCTCTCTTTCTCTCTCTCTCTCTCTTTCTGTATTTCTCTCTTTCTCTCTTTCCTTTCCCCCATCCTTCCCTCCCCTCCTCTCTCTCTGTACTGGTACTGTACTCTAGCGGAGAGCGTCATTGCCGCTCTCCCCCAGCACCAAAACTCAGACGAGGAAGCGCAGCGGGTCGAAGAGCACCGTTGACACCAGAGGGGCGGATGCTCCTACTTGTCGCCCTTGCCCTTTTTGCCCGCAGCCGCTTCCCGAGACTCCTCCAGGAGCCGGGCCAGTTTTGTCCTGCCGAGCGGCTCCGCGAGCATCCGCACGACGAAGCCGCGCGAGAGCATCCCGGCCTCGACGACAGCGTCGATCAGCGCTCAGCGCGCCGTCTGCCACAGCAGGAGGAGCACTGCGGCCAACAGCGGGCTCCGCACCAGCATTCCGCCGCTGCCGCCGCCGCGCCACGCGCGGCGGCAGGGCGTCAGCCCAGGAATCGTCCTCCAGGTCCGCCTCCGTGGGCACGGGACCCGCAGCAGCCAGCGCGACCAGCGGCAGCCCCACGGCCGCGGCCGCAGGCGCCCAGTCCCAGTGCGCTTCCGCGCAGCGAGGCGCTGGCGCCGCCGCCGCCGCCGCGCCGCCTTCCCGGAGGGAGCAGCAGGCTGCGCCGCCTCACCTCCACCAGCGCCCCCACCATCGGCCGCAGGGCGGGCCGCCCGAGGCTCGGCCTCGAGCGTGGCCGCAGCGGCCCCGGAGCTGCCTTCCGCCGTGCGCGGCAGCCGAGCTGCCGTCGCACCGCGCGCCAGGCCCGCAGCCCCGTGGACAGCCAGCGCGGCCGCGCGGGCCGCCGCCAGCGCCGCACGGCGGTCCGTCGCCGCCGCCATCTGAGGCTCCCTGGGAGCCGCGCGGATGCGGCCCTGCTGCAGCGAGCTCGACGCGGGCACGGCTTGAGCCAAGTGGCTACAGCCACCCCTCCCCTCTCTCTCTCTGTCTCTCTCTCTCTCTCTCTCTCTCTCTCCCTGCACCTCCCTCCTCCTTCCCTCTCCTCTCCTCTCCCTCTCCCTCCCCCTCCCCCTCCCCCTCCTCATCGATCATCCCCCTCCTCCTCCTCCGCCCCCCCTCCCCCGGGCGAAGGCAGCAGTGAGCCGCCTCGCTGGCCGCGGACTGTACCTTCTCGCCGCCATGCCGCGCCCGCCTCCCTCGGTGGTGGGATCCCGCGCGCTTCCCCGGACGATGGCGGTGAGGAGAATGGTGAGGATGATGCTGATGATGCCGTTGCTGCTGATGATGCTGGTGCTGCTGATGATGCTGATGCTGACGATGACGATGACGACGACGATGACGATGCTGCTGCTGCTGCTGCTGCTGCTGCTGCTGATGATGATGATGATGATGATGATGATGATGAAGATGAGGATGAGGATGATGCTGATGATGATGAGGATGAGAAGGAGGATGTGGATGTTGAGGATGATGATGCTTATGATGCTGATGATGCTGCTGCTGATGATGATGATGATGTTGATGATGATGCTGATGATGATGATGATGGTGGTAGTGTTGATGATTAGGAGGATTATGATGGTGCTGATAATGATAATGACGACGCTGACACTGAGGATGATGGTGATGACCAGGAGGATGATGTTGCTGATGCTCATGCTGATGCTGCTGCTACTGCTGCTGCTGCTGCTGCTAATGATGATGATGCTGCTGATCATGCTAATGGTGATGCTGGTGATGGTGATGGTGATGGTGATGGTAGTGGTGATGATGATGCTGATGATGATGGTGTTGCTGCTGCTGATGATGATGCTGATGATGCTGATGATGCTGCTGATGATGATGTTGATGATGCTGCTGCTGCTGATGATGATGATGATGATGATGGTGGTAGTGTTGATGATTAGGAGGATTATGATGGTGCTGCTAATGATAATGACGATGCTGACACGGAGGATGATGGTGATGAGCAGGAGGATGATGTTGCTGATGCTCATGCTGATGCTGCTGCTACTGCTGCTGCTGCTGATGATGCTGATGATGATGATGATGGTGATGCTGGTGATGGTGATGGTGATGGTAGTGGTGATGATGCTGATGATGGTGGTGTTGCTGCTGCTGCTGCTGATGATGATGAGGAGGAGGAGGAGGAGAAGGAGGAACGATGATGATGCTGCTGATGATGATGCTGCTGGTGATGATGATGCTGCTGCTGATGATGATACGGATGATTACGATATGCTGCTGCTGATGATTCTGCTGGTGCTGACGATGACGATGATGATGCTGCTGATGATGCTGATGATGATATTGTTGTTGATGATGATGAGGATGCTGGTGATGCTCATGATGCTGATAATGATGATGATGCTGCTTATGCTGACGATGGCGATGACGATGATGATGCTGATTATGCTGCTGGTGATGTTGACTATGGTGATGATGATGATGATGATGATGATGATGATGATGATGATGATGATGATGATAATGATGATGATGATGATGATGATGATGATGATGATGATGATGCTGATGATGATGATGTTGATGAGGACGATGATGACGACGATGGCGACGCTGATGATGCTGATGATGATGATGACGATGGTGATGATGAGGCTGCTGATGATGATGCTGCTGAACATGCAGATGGTGCTGCTAATGATTATGATGATGGTGCTGCTGATGATAATGCTGGTGCTGATGATTATGATCAAACTGACGATGCTGATGATGATGATGCTGATGGTGATGATGATGATGACGATGATGATGATGCTGATGAGGATGATTATGCTGTTGCTGCTGCTGATGATGATGATGTATTTGATACTGATGATGATAGCGATGATGCTGCTGATCATGATGCTGGTGATGATGCAGATGATAAAGGTGATGCTGATGGTGATGCTGATGTTGAGGTTGTATTTGATGATGCTGATGCTGATGCTGATGAAGATGATGATGATGATGATGATGATGATGATGATGATGATGATGATGATGATGATGATGATGATGATGATGATGATGATGATGTATGATTGATGACGATGATGATGATGATGATGATGATGATGATGATGATGATGCTGCTGCTGATGTGATGCTGATGCTGACTGATGTGATGCTGATGATGATGATGATGATGATGATGATGATGATGATGATGATGATGATGATGATGATGATGATGCTCATGATGTGATGATGAGGCGATGAGAGGAGGGAGGAGGAGGAGGAGGAGGAGGAGGAGGAGGAGGAGCAGGAGGCGGAGGCCTTGTGACCAGCTGCCCCATCGTCGACTTCGCCGTTGGTCCCGGGCATGCTGGGTATAGGCCCCAGGCTGGCGCACCCCCTCCTCCTCGCGGGCGGCCGCCGCTGAGCGGTCGGCCGTGCCTGGGGTGGGGGGGTGCGCCGTCTCCCGACCGCAGGGCAGCCGCGGCAAAGAGATCCGCGTGAAGCCGGAGGAGGATGAGGAGGCGGAGGAGGACGAGGAGGATGATGAGGAGGAGGAGGAGGAGGAGGAGGAGAAGGAGGAGGCGATGGAGGAGGAGGAAGTGGAGAAGGAGGAAGGGGAGGAGGAGGAGGAGGAGGAGGAAGAGAAAATGAAGGAGGAGGTGGAGGAGAAGGATCATGATGATGATGAGGAGGAGAGGGAGGAAGAGCAGGAGGAGGAGGAGGAGGAACGAGGGAGGAGGAGGCATGCCTCCCCAGGGTGCAGGGGGGCACACATACTCCGCCCCTTGGGCGGGGGGGTCTGTTGCTGGTCTCCTTTCTTTCCTCTCTTTTTACCTGTACTCTAGTTTTATCCCCCATCCCAGGCGCGACCGCCCCGGGGGGGGGGGAATGACAGCTCCATCCTTGGATCTAGTGCCATCAGTGCTCACTGCCAAGCATGAAACAGGAGAGAGGAGAGAGGAGAGATACAATCTAGTTGCGATCGCGCCACGGCTGACATTCGATCCCTCCCTCCTATCCTTTCCCAATGCGCGGGCGCGGACGCGTGTTATAGCCGACCTGGAACTCGAAGGACACAACGATTCCATCGTGTTAAGCGCAATCGGAACAGGGAAGCTGGGTCAGGGGATGAGAATGAGGAGGAGGAGGAGGAGAAGGAAGATGAGGAAAAAGACGAGGACGAGGAGGAGGAGGAGGAAGGGGAGGAGGAGGATGAGAAGGAGGAGAGAAACGCGGGTGAGCAGGATAAGGGGCAGGAGGGAAAGGAGGATGTAGAAGAAGGATGACGAGGACGAATACTTAGCAGCAGCAGGAACTGGAGTGGGAGGAGTGGGAGGATCGGGAGGAGCAGGAGGACCAGAGGCCAGAGGAAGGCCGAGGAGGAGAAATGAGGGGGGCGACAGCGATGACAAATGATTCAGTGCCAGAAGAGTGGCCCACGCTGGGGCGAGAGCGCTATTCTGAGCGACAAGAGCAAATCGCCAATCCGAAACTGAGGCCCACGCTACAGCGGGAACGCCCTCTTGAAGCACCGAAAGCAACAGGACTGCGCCAACGCATGATACATACACATATATATATACATACATATATATATGTATATATATATATATATATATATATATGTATGCACCAGCTGGTGACATCTTTTTTTCGGGTGTAAAACGAACATGGCGCGGAGAGAGCTGATCATCTCCCTCACAGTGATGGGCGATCGAGGAGTAGTCGGAGGTGAGGGGGTGAGATCGAAGTGGAACGGAGAGCCCCCCTACCGGGAAATCGATTTCGGTTTCGTTTTCGTGCGTGCCGTGCGTGCGGGCGAGGCGAAGCTGCGTGGGCGGGCGAGAAGAAAGTCTCCTGTGGCTGAGGCGCGGCCGGACCAAATGTCTCCCTTCCGGGCGGCCAGGGGCCCGCGGTGTCCCGCCGGTGTCCCGCTGGTGTCCCGTGTGGCTGAGGCGCGGCCGGACCAAATGTCTCCCTTCCGGGCGGCCGGGGCCCCGCGGTGTCCCGCCGGTGTCCCGTCGGTGTCCCGTCGGAAATGATGATGATGATGATGATGATGATGATGATGATGATGATGATGATGATGATGATGATGATGATGATGATGATGATGATGATGATGATGATGATGTTGACAACGATGATGATGATGATGATGGTGATGATGATGGTGGTGATGATGGTGAGTTCGGTAGTGAGATCGATAGTGAGACCGAATGTGAGATCGATTGTGAGATCCATTGTGATAGTGAGGTCGATAGTGAGACCCAATGTGAGATCGATAGTGAGATCGATAGTGAGTTCGATAGTGAGATCGATAGTGAGAACGAATGTGAGATCGATTGTGATATTGATTGTGAGATCGATAGTGAGATCGATAGTGAGATCGAACGAGAGGTCGATCATGACTTCGATAGTGAGTTCGATAGTGAGATCGATAGTCAGATCGATTGTGAGATCGATTGTGAGATCGATTGTGATACCGATAGTGAGATCGATAGTGAGACCGAATGTGAGTTCGATTGTGAGATCGATTGTGAGATCGATCGAATGAGATCGATAGTGAGACCGAATGTGAGATCGATTGTGAGACCGAATGTGAGATCGATCGTGAGATCGATAGCCAGATCGATTGTGAGATCTATTGTGAGATCGATTGTGATATCGATAGTGAGATCGTTATTGAGATCGAGTGTGAGATCGATAGCCAGATCGTATGTGAGATTGATCGAATGAGATCGATAATGAGATCGATAGCGATATCGATAGTGAGATCGATCGAGTGCGACGGTGGTCCCCCCCCTCGCCTCCTTATCACCCGAAGGGTGGTCTATGCGGTATCCATAATGTGTAGTTGTAGAGAGGGGAGAGGATCATGAGGAGGAGAAGGAGAAGGAGGAGGAGGAGGAGGAGGAGGAGGAGGAAGAGTTGGAGGAGGAGGATGCGGATTTGGAGGAGGAGAATGAGGAGGGAGGAGGAGGAAAAGGAGAAGAGGAGAAGGGAGGAGAGGATACATGAGCATGAAGAGGAGAAGGAGGAGGAGGACGTGGAGGAGGAGGAGGCGGAGGAGGGGGAGGAGGAGGGTATGCTTGCGCGTGCATGAGACTGGAGTTGCGCTTTTCATTGCGCTGTCCTTTCTGTACGGAAAGAAGAGGAGGACCAGTGTGAAACCAAGGGCTTTGGGCCAAGGTGCATCATATATGTTGCAACAAGCCCTCCCTCCAGGTTTCCCCTTCGTAGGCTCTATACACGAGTTTGTTCTCATTGCGGGACATGC